TCTCGCTTTCAAAAAAAAGGTTCTGTAGTATGAGTTCTGGAGGCGTTTTCGTCGCTGGAGCACGAGTCTCTGTCGCCAGTGCTGGAGTACGCACGCCGCCTGGGGGGGGTCGTGGTGTGGTTAGGGGCCCCGTGGGGGATTGATGGGGGGTTAGGGGGTTCCGTGGATCATTTTGACCAAAAATGTCGCATTTCGTCCAAATTAGAAATAAAATTAACAGATATCTACGCAGCTCGACGCCGTCGTCACGGCCAAAGTTGTTTTACTTTTCAATTCGCCTTCGAAAGTTTTCGCGAAAAATCAAAATGGACAATTTGTCCCGGACTGAACGTATGTAATGATGTGTTTTTGTTGTTAGCATCGACCGCGCCAACCTGCTGACCAATGAAAGGAAGTCAGTCTTAGTGCGGTTTGTGTTTTCTTCCTATTTATTTCGTATTTATTTTGGCAAAAATCCCCCATTTTTTGTGGTGAAACGTGTACTCCACTTTTCAGTGATTTTTTCGCACAAGTACAACCATCCAGGGTCATGTATACCGTATCCCAAATGTATGCAAAGAAAACGCATGTACATGTATTTCCGCGCATACATACGAAGTCTCTTTCACCCCTCTGCGGCAATGTGTCCATAACATACTGTCTTCTTGGAGACTACGATGCTGTGTGACCACCACGTGGTTGAGTAAACGACACACAAATAAATGCTGTGAATATAGAAACCAACATAATCATACTATGTGCCTTCTTGTGGCTTCAGTACGGGCCCGCAGTATTCTGTGAAGAAAAATAGGCTCAAATGAAGGTCATATACTGTAACAACACACACAGGTTATAACGGAAAGGTTCTCCAGGATACAAGTACTCATTGTATAGGCTTGGACTACACAAACAAACCCAAAACAAGCCCAGTTTTCAGAGGTGGTTGTTGTTGTTGTTGTTGTTGTCTTCACATTAAAAACCGTTCCGGTTTCCACTAAGTACTTTCTAATGTCCGTACGTACTCAGACTAGTCCAACTCCTTCCGTATTCACAAGCCAACTGCCTCCCATGGGGCGGGGGAGGTAGGGGGTACATTCAAAAAAACAAAGAAATCATATTGGAAACCAGAAATTTCCTCCAAGGCACGATTTGTTCTCCAACCGAAAAGATTTCAATCCAATTTTTATTATTACTGAAAAGACTTCAACACACACATCCCTTTCGTCTGAGGTCATATATATGTGTATCGAACGGGTACTACATCAAACAGTAGTCTTTCTGTGAGGTTACATACCTTCTTCCCCTCGCTCCTCGACAAGCTTTTGCTTAGACATGGGTTGTAGCGAAGGGGGGGGTCTTTCTGGCGAGCAGGGCTAGACTCACCCTCAAGGGATGACCGAAACCTTCTTGCTGCTGCGCATATCCGCCGCGAGGCATGCGCGTGGTGGTGTAGTTGGGTCGGCACTGATGGGGTCAGGCGAAAAAATGTAGATGCGCGGGCCTCTGGCCGTCGGCGTAGGCAGCGATGCCCATCTCATTTTTTGTGCGCGGAGGCAGACACCGTCAGAAGGTGGACGGGAACTATGTACACGGCCCTAGGTTTGTTAGAGGGAGCTGTACTGTCTCAGTAACCTGGTTTTGCCATCAAAGGAGGAGGGGACAGGTGGTGACGAGCTGATTGGGCTGGTTGACCCTTCGGCGCGAGAATCTTCAGACCGAGAACCCTAAGTGCGACGAGGGAGAAAGCGAGGAACCGACTGGGAAGGACAGCAACGAGAGCGTGTACGGACGGAGCAGGTCGAGTGGCGTTATGCTCGGGCTGACTACAGCGGCGCCGGACGGAGCAGCGGCACCGGAGCATGCGGGCGACATCGACCCGTGGCGCACGGACAAACATTTATATCTGATCTGTGTTGTCAATTTTTCTCGTTTTTTTCCTGATTTTCGGTGTTGGTTCTATGTGATGACGTCGTCACTGGTTTTGTAGAGAGACCCGTCAGAGATGGCGTGGCTAACCCGGGTGCCTTGGTTATGTGCCTGATCGTGGAAGACCCCTTCAATGTGGAACGATTCTTAGCTATTGTCGATATTTTCACTGCGTGCCTAACACAGACGATCGGGAGAGGTTCGGGTGATTGTCCATTGCAATCATGGCTTTGGTTGGTTGTTCTTTTTCACTGTACGTCCGCAGACACATTCTGACAGCACTTCAGACAGCAGCTTTGTGCCCCGCCAGCTTCTTGTTCCATGCCTACCATGGTGTTTTTGTACAGACAGCACTTCAGACAGCAAGTATGCTGTAGTCGGCAATCATTCGTTTTGGTACAGAGTGGGACAGGTAGGGGGTGATGTTGCTGTAGTCGAACGGTGAGACGGACGTGTAGTTCAGTTTTGGGCACGCGTACGGTGCTGCAGGGATTATATATAGGTGTAGTAGTACCTCTTCGGGCTCTTGTACACCTTTTTCTTGCTACGTGTGCGTGTTCTTTAGATCCTCAGATGGCTCCAGCACTTTCGTGACCACGGGCCGAGAGTCTTTGCTAGATTTTGGCATTTAGCAACTGACATACGGTTTAATGTGAAGACAAACAAAAACAACAACAAACAAAAACATATGTTTACTTTCTAGAAATAAGGGCTGAGAAACACAGCTAGCTCATCATTTAATCCCGGCCACAGCAACATCATTATAATAAGAAACGTCCGAACGTCCCAATAAGAAACAAACATGACGACGGTGCGATACCCCAAGACGTAGGAAACAAGGGGTAGCTGGAGGAAGAGCGTGTCCAATATGAAACGTACGTCCTGTCAGGAAAATCGTGCGTCGAGACCACCAGTAGTCGGACACGGTTTGACCTTTGAATACGATTGCAGCAACTAGTCTGCGTAGCAGTAGAAAAGAATTCATCTCGCCGTGGCATGTATTCTCTGTTGTGGATGGGTTCCTTGGGGACAACAGTCTTTCTTCCTCCTTTGGGCCGCTTCCCATGTCAAAGCCCGGGTCGATGCCAACTCCCGTCACCCTTCGTGGGGCCGCGACAGTCGGGGTCACTGTGTTTCTGCTGGTTTCGCCTCCTTGGTGGGGTGGGACATGGTGTTCATCCCAGTCGTCGTGGCGCCGAGCCACCCCCCCTACCCGCGGGAATGGCGGCAGAGGTTGGCCGGGGTTGCATAGGGCGTTCTGTACCGCGACGGTGTAGAATGTGAGATGCGATATTCATGTAGAGTATGAGACATTAAGTGAAAGTTTTCTGAGGTACATCTGCAATTGTCGGAAGGCAAAAA